TTATGCTTTCCGGTGTACGATGGTTGCGTAATTTCGACTTGAATATCAGTAACCTAGGCGATAATCTAATTTCAGGCGGAAGATTATTCCAAAGGAAGGCATATTTGGAAGCAAAGAAGAGGGAGCGCTTAGATGTAGTACAAAGAGGCGGCGGAATCACCATGCAGGAGTTGCGCGTGGCATAGGACCGATCTCTCGGAGTGAGAGTGTCAATGTGCGGAAGACTGGAGCTAGAGTTGATGCGATAAACGAAGCAAAGGCCAGCTTCGAGTCTTCTAACCCACAAAAACTTCATGTTCGCTAGCTGACATCTCTGAGTATAAGAAATACTGGACGAAGCTTGAGAGAACAGTTTCCGGGTGAAAACCCTCTGAACATTTTCGATTTTATTACGGTCGTAGGCGTTCATTAAACCGAAGAAAGGACAGCAATATTCGAGGACTGGAAGAACAAACATTTGATAAAGTCTTAGCTTCATTTCCGGAAGGAAAAAATTATGCGATATGAATCCACATATCTGCGCGGCTTTGGCAGAGATTCTATCTGCATGAGGTGATAAAGCAAGCTTATTTGTATAACTTAGACCTAGGTCCTTTATGGTGAGGCATTCTGACAGTGGTTTATTCTGAAAAATTATGGGACCAGGAAGTTTGGTAGGACCAAAAGACATGAAACAACACTTGGATGATGAAAACTCCATCTGCCATGTCGAATCCCATCTGCTTAAGCGTAGTAGATCGGCATTAATTTTTTTCAACACAAACATTTGCGGTGTCCTTAGAGTATGAGTAAACACACTTGAGGTCATCGGCATAAGTAAAAGTTTGCGAATTTCCGAGTTCAGTCGAAATATCATTGATGTACAGAAGGAAGAGTAGTGAACCCAGAACCGTGCCTTGAAGTACGCCACTCGTGATCGAGTGGGGTGTCGAGTAGCTATTACCGACCATGACTTTCTGATATCGGTTGGACAGATAGGACCTGATGAAGTCGAGTAGAGGCGGCCGGATGCCGAGGGCTTCCAATTTTACTAAAAGACGTCTATGGGGCACCTTGTCAAAGGCTTTGCTAAGATCAAAGTAAATAACAACCACTGACTGCCGCTCATTACGAAGAGAAGTGATTAGATTAAGAAAAGCCAAGTGGCATGTTTCGCAGGATCGTTCAGGTAAATACCCATGTTGACTAGAGCTCAGAAGCCGATTAGCTAGACAGAAGTCAAGAATTTCATTGAAAATAATCCTTTCAAGAAGTTGTGCTAGAGACGGCGTTTTGTGCACGCCCCGATAGTTATTAACATCGGACCGAGATCCCGACTTGAAGAGGGGAATGATAATTGACGTTTTCCATGTTTCAGGAAAGAATCCTTTTGAAATATAAACCGAGAATAAATGACTGAGCAATATGGGAAAGTCGGACGCTTGTTTAATAATCGAATTCGGAATCCCATCCGTTCCTGAGCAGTGGGAGTATTTCAAACGGCTTATGTGTTTCTTAATGAGATCTGAGGAGACGTCAATTGTACTAAGTGTCCTATCTGAAAGTGATCGAAAGAAAGGGACCGGATCGGACTCGGTAGCAAGGTGTTTTGCAAAGAAAGCACTAAACAACTCCGCCTTGTCAGTGTCGTCGGTGAGGAAGACTTTGATATCATTTAGCATGGGTGGAAGTTCATGACCACGCTTAGAGGAGGACCGATGACGGAAGATGTTAGCGACGGATTTGCCAGGGTTCGAACCACTGAGAGCAATTGATTCTCTTTGCCTGTCGCGCGCTTGGCACATCCTTGAGGCCATCTCAAAAATCTCTGTGATTCTAAGATGAACTGATAAGGAACTAGTGGATAGGTCACGCAGTTGTCGCCTTAACTTTTTAGTCTTTTCTGAAGAAAATGAGGAACAAGAGAATCTGAAGAATTAGGCTTGAGATATCTACGCGGCACAAACTCTAGGATGTCCTTGGAAACATTGGACATGACATCACGAAGAACGGTTGCATCGCTACAAGTGAGGAAGCCACACCAATCCAAGGATCTCATATAGTTATTTATTACGTCGCTATCTACGCAGTCGTAGTTCATGAAAGTCTGAACGGCGCTTGTCTTCTTTGAAAAGGCAAGCGGTAGGCAACAATTAATTAATACGTGGTCACTGTCAAAGAGGTCCTTTTTTAAAGCAACAAAAAGAGGAGCAATGTCATTGGTAAAGATTAGATCTAAAATGTGATTATCTCTTGTTGGAGAGCGCACCAGTTGGGACCAATTAGAAAAATTGACAATATCTTGAAAGGGCTGGAAACTGGGTGGGCAGTTATTGGAAACCCAGTCAATTTCAGGAAGGTTAAAATCCCCAGTGATTATTTTAACATTGAAAGCAGCTTCCGAAATTAATTTAAAGATTTCACAGAGTTGTGAATCATCACTGGCTAAAGAATTTGGGGGATTGTAGATACAGCCAATAATTGCCTTTCTTTGCGGCGAGAGAATAACAGATGCAAAGCAGAAGTTTCCCGTCAATGAGGAAACATCCAAGTAATAGGGAGAGTGCTTTAGGTAGGATTTAAGATAAAGAAGACAACCACCCCCACGCCTAGTCGTGCGGTCTTGGCGGTAAAAATCGAAGTCATCTATGAGAAGGGCAGAGTCAGGAATTAGAGAATGCGTCCAAGATTCTGTTACACATATAATATCAGGCGTCATTTCCAGAGCAATGGCTCTGATTTGGGCCATCTTGTTTATAACTGACCTGGCATTCAATAATATAATATCTAGTGTGTTTCGAACGGCAGTGCTATTTTCGACGGCATTTAAAAAAGTTTGGAGGCGGATATGTAAGCTGCGAATTAATGACACTTGGAGAATAAGTACCAGTTAATTTAGAGTTATTGACGTACGGGGAGACAGCAAGAGAAGGCTGAGTATGAGACCTAAAGGATGTGGGGATATAGTTTTCAAACATTGGAATGCTAGGGGAGTTAGAACATGGATAGACTTGTTGGTAGTTAAATAATGGAGGAAGGGGAGGAGGAAGAGGAGGGAGGCTAGAAGGAAAGTAGGGGCTAATGGGTGAGGGTAGGCCACTAAAAGAATGAGATGGTGGGAAACCAGGTCTAGATTGAAAGTCAAAGGAGATAGGTTGACGTACCTGAGAGCAATTGGCCTTAAGTTTTGGGAAGCCTGAACTAGGTTGGGGCCTAAATGATTTAGGGCAATTCATGTATGAATTATTTGCTGGATATATAGTAGGGCTTTGATAAGTAGCCGGTACGCAGGACAGAGAATTATTCGAGGATATAATTGGAGCTGCGGGGTTTGTAGACGTGCTAGGCTGAACAGACTTGTTAGATCTAAGAGAAGGCGTCGTACCTCCAAATGGAACTGTACTACCTTTCTTTTGGGTCGGAGTCTGATTCAATTTTCGAGTCTCACCGTTCTGACGCCAAGCCACGGGTGACTTAACTGTAGACCTTACAGCACCCAGTTGGACAATAGAAGTTATCGAACAAGCTGATGTAGACGGGTTTTCATGTGTCTCAGCGGGACTATCCGGAGGATACGAAACGACAAATGGGGCTGCTGCTGCCGCCGCAAGTTTAGGGGCAGGCAAATGCGTCAAGTGGTTCGAGTGAGATGGAGATGTCGGAGAAAGAGGAAGGAGGGAGTCAGATGTCGCAGGAGTAGGAGAAGCTGAATCCTTACGGCCACTTGTATCATGACCGAGTTGGGCAGCATTAGACTGAGAAGCAGTAGGTTTACGTGAGAATAGAGACCCCATTCTACGCTCCATAGGAGTAAGATCATGACAAAGGAAAAATTTTGCCTCCTCTAGGTACGCAGTGACACGCTCTCGATGGGTAAAGATTGTGTCAACCTCGATTGATGAAAACAATTTGACTAAGATGGGTGGATTTTTATTACGGGAGGACAAACGTTTGGCATCCGCTATTTTATAGTTGAAACCACATGAATACAGGAAACTGGTCGCAACATCAATTGGCCGAGCAGATCGAGGAACATTTTTTAGCAGGAAGTTGTAAGAACGCTTCTGTCTATCACTAGATTCACTGGCGATCAGGTGAACAAGTGAGTCGAGACGCCTACATTCCTCAGAGGGAATATCGGAGATGTTCCCGTCGAATAAATGTCCAAGAATTGTCAGCAAAGAGCCAAACTTTAGCATAAAGTCATTGCAGTGGTCAAGTGCAGACAGATTAAGCTGCCGACCAATTACAACGGGTGACGACTGACTAGTAATATCATCTGACTTAGATTTAGGTAAAGCTTCTGACTTACGTTTAGTTAGGCCATGTTTACTTACAAGAGCCGAGAGCTTACGTCGACCAGTGACTTTTGGTCTCATCTTGTCTCGAGGCAATTTGTGATTAAGAAAACTTCTGGCAGACAAGTTGACTGAATTTCAGCTAGGGGCTAACGATGTAAAAATAAATTACAACAGTTAGAGAGCAATCGGATGCACAAAATGAGAATTGCAGAGTGCGATTAGTGAACAACGGACATAGACTAGCAAAACTCGAAAGGAGATGGCAGCGGGCAGTTCGTAGAGAAAAGGCCTGTATTTAAGGAAAATTCAACCAAAAAACAGGTACTAAAATCGTTAGATCTCACAGAAAAACCACTAAAAATAATATCCTCCACTTATCTTCAAATTTAAAAGAAAGAAATATTTTCCGATGACTTCGTCCGAGTGTTACAGTGTCTAACCCTAATTTCATACACGCGGAGAAACTCACAGAAAGGCAACAAGATACTTAGGAATCCTATGGGTACGGCAAAACCCAGAATGTATGGTCTTCCCAAAATTCACAAACCCGGGCTACCACTACGTCCAATCTTGGATATGAGAAATTCACCCTATCACGTAATAGCATAATGGCTGGTAGAAAAGTTAAAACCGCTTCAAAGTTGCGTGTATCCGCGGAGTTTGAAAGACACCTTTGAGTTTGTCGAGGCTATCAAGAACCTTAACGTGGACGGACAAGCGATGCTCTCGTTAGATGAATCATCACTGTTCACCAACGTACCCGTAGTGGAGACAATTGACTTCCTGGGCGACTTCATCAGGGAAACAAACTACCCGATAGGCATGACAATGGAGACCCTAAAAGAACTACTTACGCGATGCACACTTAATGTCCAATTCCTCTGCAACGGCCAGCTATACAGGCAAATAGACGGTGTGACAATGGGTTCACCGCTTCAACTGTTTCTCGCAAATGTCTTTATGGGCAAGGTTCGAGCAAAGGAGTCTCAAAGATACCATTAATGACCTTAAATTGAACGGTTGATATGTGGACGATATCTTTTGCCTGATGAGTAATACCACCGACATCAATGGCCTAGTATAGAAGTTTAACGAGGCTCACCCCTCTCTGAAGTTTACCGCAGCGATCGAGGCAAATAACGAGATCGCATCCCTCGATGTCCTTCTACACAGACAAGAGGACGAATTCATCCAACGCAAGATACTTAGAAAGAAAACCTGGACGGGACAATACATTAATTTTCGCAGTTTTGTTCTCTTAAATCTAAAACGAAATTTAGTCCAGGGACTAGCAGCTAAAGTGCGACGCATCTGCTCTCCTAAATCTGTTGAAGCGGAACTCCAGCAGCTGCAAAACACGCTCCGCGAAAACGGCTATTCAGAGCGATTCATCTTCCGGAATATTAGAGAGCGTGCCACAAAATCAGCCGTTGCAACTGCAGAGAAGGAAGACTTATTTCTAATACTGCCTTTTCTAGGAGACGCAGCAAGCAAATTAGTGAGACGACGTCTTAGGACAGCTCTCGCAAGTGCCATCCCCGCGGCGAACTTGCGCGTGTTCTTCGTAAATTCCCCGATACTACGGCTGGGGGGCAAAGACCGACTGCCGTTACTGGCCACATCCATGTGTATTTATTAATTCACCTGCTCCTGTGGCGCGAGGTATATTGGCCATACAACAAGGCTTCTGAAAAAGAGGATACGCAATCACATGCCTGCCTGGCTATGTAGCGGTGAAAATCGATCGATGTCGAGTTCAATTCTAGCACATCTAATCGATACGAACCACCAAACCGACGCGAAAAAAGCTTTTAAAATTCTCTACGGGGCGCCGGCACACTACTTTAAAAGCCTGTGCAAACGGATGCTAGCCACAGCTGAAGCGCTGGTCATTTGACTGGCGAACCCAGCACTCTGTTGTCAGAAGACGTTGACACAAGCAGTCTGTCTGCCCTGACCGACTCCAGACGGTGATCGCACGCCCTCCCGAAGCCCCCCGTCCCACCCCAACTCCACCATCCTCAACACGCTGACTCCGTCATGCGGGCGGCGTGGGAACATGGAGTCCGATTAACCCTGCCCCTGAGACGCATTTATCTCCTGTCTACAATTTGACTGATCATAACCCATGTAAATGTACCGGCCTGATGATGGGTTACCGAAAACATATGTTCGCAAACCGACTCTTCAATCCTTGATAAACGGACAAGTGCGACATTTTCATAACGGCCTGACCAGCTCGCAAAATTCGAAATTTCAACTGAACTATTTAAATCGAGATCGGGTTAATATTCTTGCAGATCGTTTACGAATATACCCGCGTTGCGGTTAGCTTGTCCTTAAACCGGCAGGAATATCTATGTCTTCTACGAAAATTGATCTTGAGATCTACCGGTCAGAACGAACGCGTAAGCGTAACCCGCCAGAATCATTTACCACCATATTAGTTTCGGTTTCGTCTGCGTTTGCGCCTTGGTAATTTCACACGTCTCCCAGCGTTTTTATGAATTTTATTACGATCCGGGACTCTTATTAAATTTCTTGCATTTTGATCTTCTGTGTTTCCAGCACGCTTATGAAAGGATCTCGAAATACTGTTCTTCAATGACGTCGCTTTGTTACCGCGGCTTATTATGTAGCTTTGATGCTTAGTCTTGTCGGTGCACGACGCCTTCAAATATTATTTGCTTGAGGGTTGAGATTTCAGTTTTCAAAGTTGACCACCGCAGATTTCTCTGTCGAGTTGGAGGACGAGAGGTGTGGACTATAGTCCACACCTCCACGCATACGATGCGTTTTGGTCAGCATGTTCCATTCCTTAGCCTCCTTTGTGTATGGCTTCTGCCCGGAGCGCATTCTGCAATTATTTACACCTTCATACATGTCGACACCTTTACCGTCATTGGTTTCGTGTCTGGCCTCTCTTACCCTGAGAAGCTGGTATTCTGCATACGTCGCACATTGAGCAACCCAGGCAGTTGTATTCCTCCGGAGTGACCGGAGGGGTTTACTAATAGATCGCCTTTGCACATGGCTGCGACAGGGGATACTACATTTGCCTTCCTAATCCGCGCTATCGATCTAAATTTGTTTCTTGCTTGGACAGAAGGACGTGGCGATGTTACGATCCTTAAATATGGACAGTAAATCGTATGGTCAACGGAGACCAGGTGAACATCTCCGGGCAGTCAATTCTCTGCGACAGGCGGCACTAAACTTCCACTAGGGCTACTCTAATACTGCTAACAGTTCTGATATTTTAAGCCTTTAATGCTTCGGATAGTTACTACACAACACTGACAGTACCACAAACGGTCTAGGTATTCGTGTCCACCGTTAATCCGCGATTACCTTGATTGTTGAAAGAACAAAAACACCATCGCACCAGCAAATATGTTTCTACTGCGTCAACTGAGTTCCAGACAAAGGAGCGCCACTCATAGTTCTAGTGGATTCTTTCCCAGTATGGTTCTACTCATACAAGCACACAAGCGTAGAGGACTATTATTGGCATGGTTCAAGTTGGTTGTGAAAGATACGGCGTAGATCAACATTAAGTTCACACCTGAAAATACTACTAAGAGACAATCAGCCTATCAGTCTGGATAGCAGTTAACACCCCCGATAGCACGTAGTCGCCCAGGGCTAGACATCTGCTAGCCCGTTTGACTTTCTGGTAAGTGGAGGGCTAGTAGCCTGACTGGCCGACTGTGCTCTATCTGTGCAAGGAAAAGCACTTTTCTGCTACACCCCCTTCCCTTGATGCTCACCCGAGTGCGTTTGGCGCGTCACGCCTGGGGGGTCACTTTCCGCGTACGCACGCACTTTGTCCGGAACTTAGGCCCGTCTGGGGACTTAAATCGCCTCGGGCTACAGCGCCCCCAACTCGCCCGAGAAGGCGCGTTAACCTACTGTCACCATGTGGACAGTGTCCGCTAGGATTGCTGAAAAAATATTCAATCGCAACACTAGCCCTCCACCGGGCTAGCCCTGGGCGAGTAGAATGCTATCAGGGACAGCTAGGAGTACTAACCCTGATTGGAAGCCAACTAACCTCCCTGTATGGTAGAAGATGCCACGTTAACCATTGTCCTAAGAGGAATTCCTTACTTCGGGGGAGTTGTTGGAGTCGAGAGAGCCACGGTAGAACTTCACTCTTCCTGATTTCATTAAGTCCCATTTTCCATACTGCCATTATGGTAATTTCGATTCAGACTTCCGTAAATACAAATACATAAATGTCGTCGTTTTGAATTCTCGGACATGAGCAGGATGCGACCACTGCTATGAAAATTGAAATCGAAATTAGGGATTCGAGGAAGATGCCAGGTAGTCAAAGCGATAAATAGATCCGAAACTTTGCGTTGACTACAGCAATCTCGAATGCAATATATCACTACGGTTAAGGCGAGTTCGATCCAACATTTAGGCACTGGTCGTACCGACTTCCAGGCACAAAACCAATTCTGGTAAAAGTGTCTACAGGTATGGGGATGTAAATAATGGCCGAATGCACCCCGAGTAGAAGTCATACATAGTGGAAGCTGAGGAATAGCACATGCCGACCAAAACGCAACGTAGTCCACACCTCTCGCCCCCCAACTCGACTGCGAAATTTACGGAGGTCGACTTTATAAGTTGAACTCGACTTCTGCTAGGCAACAGTACCGAATTATTACGCACATGGTTTTGTCAGCTGTCTGCCTGCCCGAAAAATTTCATCTAGTCTCCATTAACTAGGCGATTTACTGCTTTTATTTTTAAGGGTGGTAGTTTCACTAAACCATTGTGTCGAAGCGTACAAGGAACGCGTTTTCCAGTCGGTTTCGCAGACCGAAAAAGTAACATCTTGGTTGTTTTAAGCAGCTCGTGTTAACTGTCTGTTCGGCTTGTGTGCCGGGAAGCTTTCAACATGTTGGGTCTTGTATGACATGCATGATTATTAACGTAAAAAAATCCTCACCACCGGACTACTCTGTATGCCGACATTTTTCAAATCCGTGCCAAGACCGGTAGTGGTTCCACGTTCCTCTATTTGTCCCACAGTTTATATTCTGATTTGGGTTTTTCTCTTGCAGTGTTCTGCTTCCAACCCTTTTGAGGACATGCCGCACTATTTTAGCTTTGTGTTTATTTCATGTTTGTAGATAGCATGTACCGTCACGGAAGTCGTGATGACCGACTAAGTTCGCGCAACCATGCGTCCTACGTTTCACGCGATCGTGACAGGTCCCATTACAGAGGGCGCGACACTTCCAGTCATCGCAGTTATGGCTATGAACATGATTCAAGACGCGATCGGCGGCGCGATTCCTCACGTAGTGACCTTGACGCATATCTCCGACGAAAGAAAGAAGAACTCGAGCGTTCCGCATACGAGAACAATGATAAAACTGTCACAGAGGATGTACACTCACACAGTAAAAAAGAGTCATCGAAGAAATCCCACAAAAAGTCTCATAAAGAGAAATCGCATCACAAGAGCAAAAAAAGAGAGTCTAAACAAGAGTCTGCCCATGCAAGTGAAATAGAAAGTGAGGACGAAGAAGCCATCATTGAAAGGCGCCGAAGGGAGCGGCAAAAACTTTTAGAGGTACGCTTTTTGGTGTAAATTTCGTTTCTTTTATCCGTCGACCATATGGCTAGCCGTTTTAACTTATTTTTCGACTTTTCAGAAACTGGGTGCGTCTGACGCCTCTGTACACAAACCTAACTTATCGCCGACCCGCTCATCACCCAAAGAGGTAGAAGTCCCCGAAATTTTTGCCTCCGAAACTCTTGTAAAGGATTTCGTTAATTTCCGAACATCTATCGACGCCGCAGGTGGGTAAGCTTCGCGTCTTATGCGTTTTGTCGACGTCTCCCTTTCTTCAAAGTTCACCGTTTCCTCGAGATACCTCCATCGCTTTAAAAAATTCATGTGCCATAATGTGATTCTTTCTGCTTTGCACTTAACAGTCACTGAGGCAGCAGAAACACCAAGCGGACGTCTCTCGGGCATACAAGCACCTGCGGCCGTTGCCTTTCTTCAAGACCACAAGCCAGATGCAGCGAACAACCACCATAACGCCACTGCGGCCGGTACAGAGAAGCCGTTCGCCTTTGACATATTTTCTGGCGAACTGCCCATCTGCTCGAAAGGAGTGCCCGGCACGATGGACCCCCGAGCCCTGGCTTCAGAAAACCACTCGCTTGTTGACAATTGGGATGATGATCAGGGCTACTACCGTAAGTTTTGCCACACTGCAAGATGTTTCTTTTACCATCCTTTGAAGTACGCCCCTCAGGTCAGCTCCCCCCGCACACCGCTGTCCACTCCTTTCCCGCAAACCGTCCACCGTTAACCCGCATAATTGTCTTCTTCGATTCTGCTAGGTGTGCGTATTGGTGAAGTGCTCGATAAGCGGTATGCTGTTTACGGTTACACGGGGCACGGTGTCTTCTCCAATGTTGTTCGTGCCCGTGACAGTGCTAGGGGCAACATGGAGGTTGCCATCAAAATTATTCGTAACAACGAAGTCATGTAAGTCCCACCTCATCTTTTTCCTCATGGTCCGGCCCCCGATGGTTTCATGCACCAATATGATTGTCATACCTATTGTGGCTTTTTCCTAACTAACCATCCTTTTGTGGCATCGTCATCCCCACCATAACAGGCACAAATCAGGGTTGCAGGAGTTGGAGATCCTGAAGAAGCTCAACGATGCAGACGCCTCCGACAGGTATCATTGCCTACGACTTTACCGGCACTTTTTCCATAAAAATCACCTGTGCATGGTTTTCGAGTCGATGAGCATGAACCTGCGTGAGGTTTTGAAAAAGTACGGCAGAGACGTGGGTCTCCATGTTGCGGCCATTCGCTCCTACACCCAACAGATGCTCCTCGCTCTAAAACTCATGCGCAAGTGCAACATTCTGCACGCGGACATCAAACCGGACAACGTGCTCGTTCATGAGAACAAGATCACCCTTAAGCTCTCCGATTTTGGTTCGGCCTGCTCAGTGCAGGAGAATGAGATTACCCCCTATCTCGTCTCACGCTTCTACCGTGCCCCAGAAGTCAGTAAGTGAATTTATTCCTCTTTTTTGGCTCCAATATTTGCCCGTTCGTGTCCTCACATTTCCTGTCCTGCATTTTATTACATTATCGTTCACTAGCTTCGTTTGTCTGTGTGTGTAGTCTCTCCCTCTTGACGGCCGTCGTTTCGAACGAGAACCAGCAGCAACTGCAGCAACCACATCTGCAACAGAAGTGGCTGAAAGCGACCCTGTTTTATCCCCCGTGGCTCTACCTTCAGCGGTGGCAATTTATGGTAAAGATGTGAGGGAGATAGCGATGCTTTCCTCCAATACCTCCCCATCATGGCCAGCTCGTAGTTCAACCATTTTGCTATATCATTTTCTTACTTCTGTCGTTATCTGACACTGACATTAATTAGGCCTAGTCTTCAGGTCATCCGCTTACGCGTATTCTACTTCCTCACGCGCGTGCCAGATAGATTTAGTTAACTGTCGTTCCTACCACCTGTAAACTATACGACTGCCTAAGTAGGTGGATGGTGGGATTTCCCAGTCCTAAACATCTGGGCGCCCAGACTGCTCGCGCGTCAAATGCTAGGAAAGGACTTTTCAGTCACTTTTCCATGCTGCTTTTCCTTCACTTCCCCTGTCTTTTTGTAAACCCAGCCTGCATGTCGCGGTTTGGTCGTAGAGGCTCTCTTTGGTTGCTCTCATTCGGACGAGAGCTCGAGACACATTGCCTCCTCCCCCGTGTATACCTGAGTTGGTTTTGGTGTGTCTGTCTTACCCAAGGACTAGTTGTTAGGCATTTTGAAATTTATAGAGACGAGAAAAGGCTGGCAGTCCATGATTAATTGAGTACGAATTCACCCAGTTATCTACTGGATGTGACTGTCGAGTGTGACGCAGGCCATGGAGGCTTTGTGGGCGGCATCTTCCTTTTCACATTTGTCGCCCAGGGAGTAACTGCTCTCACCAACCAGGTTTTTTTTTCGAGGCTGCTCACCATCGTCGCTTCCCACCGGGGGGACTTAACTCGCTTGACGCCTAGCCCTCAACAGAAGTTGGCGTAGGCGACTTCACTGAGTAGACTAAAAGCCCACGACATAAGTAGCCGACAAAGATTTGGGCGTCTCGCCAAAGTTAGCTTTCCATCCCAGTGTATTTTGCGATTCCCCGAGCTAGTGTTTGGGTCATATAGGCAAACATCGGCATCTCACAAATTAGCACTGGTCAGTACTTCACTCTGGTTGCCTCAGATTGTGAATATCTTAGTTTCCGTCAAGGTATATCCCTCTCACATTCTTAATTCGTCTTACTACGTGCGAAGAACAATCTCACTGCCTCTACCCCTCAACCAGTGGCTCTTTGTAGAACCCTATTCCGCCGCTACTCTAGATTAGGGTCTATATTTTGCTGAGTTGTACTCTGTCTGTAACTCGGTCGTTTAATCCCTGTTGCGTCTGTGCTCCTGTTGCCCCTCTCCCCCTCCTTCGCAATCGTCTGCATGGTGCGCGTGTGTAGTCCTCGGTCTGCCCTACGACTTCAACATCGATCTCTGGTCCACCGCGGTGACACTCTACGAACTCAGCACCGGAAAGATCATGTTCCCCGGGAAGACCAATAATGAGATGCTGCGGCTGATGATGGAGACACGAGGTCGAATACCGAATCGTGTCATTCGTCGGGGCACTTTCCGCGATCAACACTTCGACGAACAATGCAACTTCCTGTATCATGAAGTTGATAAGGTCACACAGAAAGTGAGTCCCCTTTCCCCGACCTAAGTACTTAAACCAAGACATCTACTTCTAAGTGAACGTCTTTGTAATTGGATATAAACACAAATGTCGAAAGTAGCATAGGATTGGCCAGAAGTTTTTTTTTCAGAAAAGCTAAACTTCATATCAAGTGTGCAAGCTTGTTTGGTAAAAGTACGTACTTACGTGTAGACAACTAGATAAATGAGGCAACATATCCAAGACGATATCATAAGAACCTTTTGAGCTAACGAATCGGATATGTTTACCACACAAAAATTGCTGTTCAATGTGCGGTTGACCAGATGGATGATTTTTTTGAGTTACTGGGAGGGGAGGTCATCAGGTGTCGAAAGCCTGGTCAGCAAGTTAAAATTCGGATGACTGCTCGGCGGTCGTTTCCGACGATGTCTATCTTGTGCCCCACAGCAAGGTGAGGGCAGAGACGGTCGCCCTCTCCCCCCATCTGAGCCCGATGTTATGACAGAGTCAAGAAAACCGGAGCCGGGAGAGGGCGCAGGTGGCTGGCATGGCGAAAACCCGCACCGGCTCAGGTCCCACTGAGTGAGTGCCATAGAAGCCACATTAAGAAGGAGCCATTCCCTAAAAACAATGAAATTCGAGCGGTGCGACCTCTTCAAGGTCTCTACATTTTGGGGTCATTAAAACCCTCAAGATGAGAGCTTTTGATTCTTGTGATTTATTTGCTTTCTTTCGGGTAGGTATTTTACCTACAGCTGGAGATTTGGCACGTCAAATAAGTGGACTTTCGCGGCGAAACCCGCATGTGAATATGCCCTTGACTGGATAAGGAATTATTCAGTAGCTTCTCCCTTAAAAGTACTTTTACGCACTGGATAAGAATTGTTGGCTTTTTTCCTAACTTGGGACCGTTTTAATTACACTTTTTTGGTTTTAAGTCCTATTCTAGTTTGACAAATACACTACAGGGTGTCCCAGTAGGTATTGGTATATTCCTCAAATGACCAACACGCCATCGTTTTACGACCCGAGCCGACAGAGAGGGCAGTAATCAGTAGTCGTCACTAAAAGCGTCAGTATATGGGGCAGCTGAGAAAATCCTTGAATACACCTAGCGAGGCTGCAGTGACTGGATCAGCGGAAGAACACTGCATTTGTCTGCTCAGACGGCTCGAGCTAGGTCCCATAACGATGACTGCTTCCGCCAACTTCGAAAGATGACGGCAAAATCGGCCAGTGATGACCGGAAGCAATATTGGGCTGAAATAGCGACCTCCGTGGAATAGGCCTCGAACGTTAGTGACGCTGGAAAACTCTACCAACTTATTCGCCAAGTTAGCAGTAAGCCCTCTACACTGACTGACTGTTCGCGACGTGAATGGCAGCTCTATTGCTGACAACTCGGCCAAAGTCTAGCGCTGGCGTGAGCACTTCCAGCACCATCTCAACTTCGATACCCAACCCACCTTGCCCTTGTTGTCCCCTTCAGCAGAGTTTCTTCCCTCTCCCACCTATGCAGTGACATGCGACCTCTCTGAAGGAACAGTCTTCAGTGCCATATGAAAGCTGCGCAACAATAAGGCATCCGGAGGGGTCGGTATACCCGCTGAAATCTTCAAGTCTTGTGTCGACACTGCCGCCCTGGATCCATGAGGGGATTGAGCGAACGAGGAGAGAGCAGGTTGTTCCCGATTACTGGGGCTTAGGCATCCCTGTACCTATCCTCAAGATGGGAAAGAAGACAAGATGCGAGAACTACCGCGGCATAAGTCTCATCGACGTTGCTGCAAAGATCTTCGCTATTGTCCTTCTCAGGCGATTCCAGGCTGTGCGTGACTCAAGGACGAGGCATAATCAAGCCGGAGTTCGGGCTGGACGCGGATGCGCAGACCAGATGTTCTCCATGAGGCGCATTCTCGAATTTCGCCATAGCTACCACTAACCAACGGCCGTCTGTTTTGTTGACTTTGCCGCCGCTTTCGATTCCGTCCATCGTGAGTCCCTGTGGTGGATAATGGCTCCAGATGGTGTACCGTCAAAAATCATCGCCATGATCAAGGCCTATTATCGCTCCACTACTGTGAGAGTCCTGGTCCTCAACAATCTTACCCAACCGTTCGGTATTCGGTCTGACGTTCGACAGGGTTGTATCCTGCCGCCCGTTCTGTTCAACTACGCTGTTGACTTCATTCTCGGGAGGGCCCTACTCGAAGGTGACGGTGTTGAGTTTGCACCCGGACACCGACTGACTGGTCTCGGCTCTGCCGATGATATCGCCTTACTTGCTTCAAGTTTTGGTGATCTACAGTCTATGGTGTCACGAGTGAACGAGGTCGCTAAATCGGTCGGTTTATCCATAAACGCTGGGAAGACTAAAGTGTTTTCAAGCTGCATCCCTGGCCAGGAGAGGGCACCCCTCGGGATTGATGGCTTTCCACTTGAAGTAGACAATTTCAATTACCTCGGGGTGTGGTTGCTATCGAATGGCCAGAGTAAGGATGACATGGTCTCCCGAAATGATGCTGCCCGCCGGGTTTTCTCAAGCCTTCGAAAATGTGTATGGATCCGACGTAACCTCTCCATCGCCACTAAGATTCGCGTATACTGTGCATCTGTCCGGTTTGTCCTTCTTTACTGTTGTGTACGCTGGGCTTTGCGCGTGGAGGACGAGCTAAAACTGGAGGTATTTGATCACCACTGCTTGAGGGCCATCCTTCGAGTGAAGTTCACCGACTTCGTCTCAAATGAGATAGTCCGCGCACGCTGCGACAACATTGCAAGGATAACTCAGACCACCCAAGACGTCGAGGTGGTTTGGGCATGTTCTTCATCGTCCACCTCAGGAGCACTGTGCTTTTGCCCTCGATCCAACAAGGGGTCCAAGGGGGGGGGGTCAATTCAAGACCTGGCTCGACACATGACATGGTGGTGGTTCTTTGACCTTCGGTATTCGGTCTCCGTCGTTGGCGAACGGAATAGGTTGAACTGTCCAGATCTGCCACCGCGGATCGTCACGCCTGGAGAGGTACAGTTCGTGACGTCATTGAGACCGTCTAGATCAGGCATGATCGTAGCCGCATGAAGTAACAAGTAACGTCAATTTTCTTATAGGTGTATACAAATCGCATAAAGAATAATCGTATCATTTAAGCGGAGGTTAAGTTGGATGGACATGGTCAACTGTTTTTCGGTGACCTATATTACCTGCTTATGTGTAGGAAAAAGGTGCGGGGTTGCCTTCTGGCATTGTTTCTGTTTTTGTGAGCTTTTCTCACTTTGAAGAATGCTCACGAGAACGAAGTTATGGTTTGCAAGAGTTGCCAGCATAGGAAGTCGCCTACTCGTAAAATTGTCCTGTTTCTCAGCCTAAGGAGTAGGCTTTTTTAAACAACGCTTTGGCCGACAACCGACTGAAATACACAACTTTCAAGGTATCTCCTTACTATCCATCCTCAATTTCGCCACCCACCGCAGTCCCTTAACTCATTTCTGCCCGTCGATTCATTGTCTTACCCGTCTCGTTCAGCGTGTGGTGCAGGTCTCAACTACACAGTCGCAGGATAAGACTGACCTGCTCATGCCCCTGGGGTGATAGTGTTGTTGTTGATGGTGATGGTGGTAACCATGACGATGGTGGTGACGGTGCTGACCGTTGCCTGTAAACATCTCCGTGGCTTAATGTGCTTGGGAGAATGCGGACAATTGGGGCTGATTTTACCGTCAGCGCTGCAAAAGCTGTCTGAAAGTAGGCCAACCCGTTTGGTCTTAACTGGGACGATGCGAATTTCACCCAGTCACAGTTATGCTTAATTAGTAACTCGTTATTTCTGAATTTTTTACGATTGATATTCTCGTAAGCGGTTTCTTACATAAGCTTGTCTCCTTTATCCGTACCTTGTGAGCATGCACTCGTTTTCCTTTAGGCCAAAACGACGGTGATTCGAAACATTCAGATCACAAGGGACCTCCTTTCTGATCTAACGGATGATCCACATCTGACCTCCCCAATCTTAAGAAAGATGAATCAATTTCGTGATCTACTCGAAAAGATCCTCGTCCTCGATCCTGCCAGACGTATTTCTCTAAATGACGCCCTTCAGCATCCCTTCATTGTAGAGCGCATTGAAGAAACTTCTTGAAACGCTTTTTCACGGACGCACGCTCCGTGACTAGAGCAGCCAGATTTTTGTAAACACTGTATGTAAATCCTCTTGTTTGACCTTTGTACTTTCCCTTTACGATAAATTCTGAGAATTACACCTCAGTAAAATTTGTACTCCATGCATCGGCAACGTCATTTGTGAGTTGCAGTCCACCGTCTTTCGTTTCACCTCAAAATGGGGTAAACAGCAGGGCGAAGTTAACTGCGGTAGCTCAAGTCTGGAGCAGCGAATGACTCGATTTTGTTCTGCTGTGCTGACTTATTGGCTTTAGCGACCTTTCTTTGCCTCCGACGTAGATTTCAGCCGGTACATATTCGTACTCATCAATCATCAACAACCCTTCGCCTGTTGCCTTGCTTCGGAGGCCGGCGCTCGCTGTCTTTTGACTGTTTTGTTCTGTGGCCGTTCCGCATTGGTGGTGTAAGTATCGCTCGGCAGGAGTCTTTCATTGGAGCAAAGTGGACTAATTACATTTCACTTCCTTACTCCAACCGGAGCCCTGTAACCCTTTGCGTTAAGAAGGCGAACTGTCGAGAAGCGTTAACCATAGATTGACGCAGGGATGGCCGTCTTAGGCCTGTTGTTCCACCCTCAGCCAGTAACACTCCAGCTTTAGGTGGGGGACTTGAGGTTTGACCCCGAGTCAGTCGGTCCTCGAGTAATTCAACTGGGATCAGAGGTATTCGGTCACGTGACGGCAACGCAGCGATCTCATCTCTACTGCAGTCTAATTGCTTTCAACTCACCCACCACTGCTCAGAACACCATCATAGTCTAAGGAAACACATTAACCCAACCTGGCCGTGACCACACCTTCCGGTCACTTTAACCACGTGAACTGATCCACTGTCAGGAGACAGAGGACGACCGACAGAATTCGGCCCACGCTTTCTATCAGTAAAAACATTCGGAAGGTCCTTTTCACCGATAAAGTAATCCTGTCTGAACAGAATGCTTAGGAAGCCCGAGTTTCGAGTTACTGGCAACCCGCCCCGTGTCGTACCTATTCTTTTTAGAGAGAGAGAGAGGAATGCTTTATTTTGAAAGTTACTTTCAAAACTCAGCAAAAACGGTTCTCCAGTACACAGTGATTACCATAGAGATTAATAGGTATTGGACAGGTGGACATGAGTATATATGAAGAAAAAGGGACTTTAGGGTGCAAGATCGAGTTTTAGTTTTTGTTTTTCAACATCTTTGCAGATGAGATACCGGGCTAGAAATGGCAGTATGGAATTCCGATAGGCCGAAGTGCAGCGAGGGATGTGGCGGAAGCATCGACGCATGGGGCGTAAGGATTTCGCAGCCATTAACTCATTATGAAGGAGATGGACGGTGTCATTCAGAATTCGGTCAGAGAATTGCTCCACCGAGTTGAAGTGTCGCTGCACGATGATATCAACTAAAATATGATAGGAAACACCAGCAGCAGAGGCGAGCATTCGAATGACTACTGTACGAAGGTCATGACTTTGGGGGCAAAAATGGTCGGACCTCATTTTTCAATCTGTTTCAGGCAGGACCAGACTTTCATGCCGAGGGACATTCTCGCATTCCGTCATAGTCACCGACAACAGACGGTCGTCAGCCTTGTTGACCTCGTCGCTGCGTTGGATTTGGTTCATCGTGTCTGTGGCGAATAATGGAAGTTAATTGTATACTGGCCAAAATCGTCGCCATAATAAAGGTCTTCTATCGCTCAAACCGCTCGAGTTCCGGTCCTTAACGGTCTAACCCGACCGTTCGATATTCGGTGCGGCGTTCGGCAGGGTTGTATCCTATCGCCCATTCTGTTCAACTGCGCTATTGACTGAATTCTCGGGAGGGCCCTACACGGGGGTGATGGTGTTCAGTTTGCACGCGGCCGCCGCCTGACTGATCTCGACTACGCTGATGTTATCTCCTTTGCTAGCCTTAAACTTCGGCGATCTAAAGTCTATTGTGTCACGGGTGAAGTAAGTCACTAAGTCCGTCGGTTTACCCTTAAAAGCTGGGAAGGCCAAAGTGCATTGCTGACCAGGAGAAGGCACCTCCCGAGGTAAATGGCTGTCAATTTGACGACAGACAGCTTCAAATACCCCAATACGAGGCTGCTGCCGACATTGTCTCCCGAATCGATGCTGCTCGCCGGGTCTTTCCAAGCCCTGGAAAGTGTTTATGGACCTGACGGGACATCCCCGTCGCCACGAAGATTCGTGTGCACTGTGCATCCGTCCGGCCAGTCTCTCTGTACGGTTGTGAATGTTGGGCTATGCGTGTGAAAGATGAGCGAAAACACGGGAGATACTAGACCACCACTGATTGAGGACCATCCTCCGAGTGGAGAACACCGAATTCGTCTCAAATTGGACAGCCGGCACTCGCCGCGACAACATCGCAAGGATATCTCAGGCCATCCAAGAGGGATGACTGCGGTGGTTTGGACACCTTCGCCATTCACCTCACAAGCTTAGTGTTTCTGCCCTCGACCCGGCACCATTACCCACTTGAAGTCACCGAAGAAGGGGTCGACTCAAAACCTGACTCGACACAGTCTGTCACGACATACGGGGGTGCTCGGACTTCCCTTATTTGGTCTCCGTCGCTGGCGAGGAGAATGGGTCGAGTTGTCCGGATCTGCTGCCACGGATCGTTACGCATGGAAAAGTACAGTCCGTGACATCGAGAACGGCTAGACCAGACGTGGTTGGAGTTATACCAATTACTATAGGCCACTGTCTCCGCAATAAGTGGTTTCTGAGCCACGCGGTCTTGGGATACGTGCCCATCTCTGGTTTTAACAGGAAGGAGCTGCTCCGCATTATGCCCATATTGTGTGTGTCACCTCAACGAGGTCTTCAATAGCCGGTGGACTACTGGTCGAGTAGGACTCCTGGAGTGACCGCACAGGCCTCATAGTCTCACTCTACTTAATTTATTTCCTTCGTTTATGCAGGACCATATAGAATAGCAGAGGGATAGTTGAACCGGGCCATCATCGGCGAATGCAGTCTAATCACTGCGGGACCTAGTTGCCACATTTTTCACTCTTTTTTTAGGAGGCAAATGCCCTGTAAAGAAAACCATGGACAACCTGTTAAACATATATTCAATTAAACTTCATATGGGTACTGTACGGGGTTATTTCAGCATCTCATGGTTTAGAGAGATTCGCTGTGTGATATTTTGGTTCTATTGTAGCGGCTAAGCGGTGATGGTGTACGCTCAGTACGCCACAACTTTAGGCCGTATCCCAAGTTGTTAGAAGCAGGACGCCATTTAATTAGGACTCTTCATTCTGTACAGAATGGTGAAGGGGGAAGTTGGCAGCCGGACGAGGATGCATCCGGCGCCGCGGAGGCGGCGTCCGCGAGGGCGAGGAGCCCTGTGTCGCCGAAGGTCGCCGCTGCAAAAGTGTCGCTGCAGATTGTTTACTCTATTGTTCTGGACTTTTCTCGCCTGTCTTACCAATCAGCGATAGGAGTTGCGTTGATTGGCTCCGAGCCCACGCGAAGGTAGTGACAAGTCTCGCATGGTGCAGGCAGAGAATTGGCCGAATGCGTGGTGCAGACAGTGAGTTGCAACGAGACAAATCGAAGCCGGGCAGACGTGCATGCCATAGCAGGCTGTCGTTAGAACGTAGGTGCAGGCGCTAGCAAGAGGCGCGACGCAGCCATTATGGCTGTCCACTACACTATCAGGAAGGGCCTGAAAACTTGATAATGACCGCAGTTGGTGGTACGGATACGCTACCACGAGGACTGAAATTAATTCGGGGAGTTTTGGCATTTGAAAATATCAGTATGTCAGAGTTTACGCCCCTGGTAGAGCCTTGAACCGAAGCTGGAGGTGCAGTCCTTCGCATGAGGCATTAGTCGCATCACGCGCTATGTTTTGTGCGCTACGACTTAACAACCCTGGGAAGCTCTACAAAACTCTGTGAAACATCAACTCCGCCTCTTATAGTTTATTCCGCGTTTAAGCGACCGTCAGGGTGTGCCTTTCGTTAACTTGTAAGTAAAATCACGATTCAGGTCTCGTTGTATTCCGGTCCGACAGTTCAACCGTTGCTACCATGTGCTCCACAGCGGGGTGTGAGCAGGGATGGTGACTTGCGCGCGAAGGGGGTTGTCGCGATACTGGACTTGCGCAGCATCTACCGCACTCCCTCCCCCCACCTGAATGCGGTGTCAGCGCAGAGTCAAGAAGACCGAAGGCGAGAGAGTGAGAAGGCGGCGAGCACCGCCGAGCCCGCGCCTTCGCATACTGCCGCACCCTCTGGTCCACAACGGACAATGACCAGGATTTTATACCACACCACGAATAAGAAGCGGTACGGATCCTAGCTGACCCGCAAGTGATCGTGCCACCAGGCCCAATATCAGACAACGTCTGCCGTAGTCCGATCTAGCCCCTGTGTTAGTCCAGAGTATCTACTGCGTGGCGCATTTTGAGGAAAAACATTTCCATCCTACGCTTTTATCACATGTTAACTGCTGTCTGTTTCATTTCAGTCTGCTAAACAACTACTACTGCCAAGCGAAGGGCTGACAAATAGATAAGTTCGTGTGCTATAGATAGTAGAGGCAGCTTCCTGTCAATCCACCTTACGGGCGACGCGGAGCTCAAATGGACAAGTACTTGTTGGAATAACTGAAAAGTGCGCATGTACGCGTCTGCGTGTGAGCGCATAAATCTCGTTGCGTGCACTCAGCCCGTGAATCAGAGCCGTACGCGCGTTAATTTGCCAACTGGTCGTCGAATGAGAGTCGAGGCTGTATGAAAAGGTCAGATGAGGACACCCGACACTCACACATTCACGTAGTTCCCTTCACTATACGCTCGTTACGCATTCTTTCTGATTCACTTATGCTGACGCGAGTGTTTCCACACAACGCACTGCAGTTCAGTTCTGTTCACTTTATTTGAGGGAAATGTAACTATTACGCCTTTGAGCCACCCTATTTGTTGCGAGGAAGGAAAGTATATCAAAAAGT